ATATCAAATTGGAATATTGTAAATACTCTTCTGGAATAGTAGGAATATTTTAATGTTTAGAGTACTGGAATATCAGTAATATCCAATTGGAATATTGAAAATTCTTTTATGGAACATTAGGAATATTGGAATACCAGTAATATCCAATTGGAATATTGAAAATACTCTCATGGAACATTAGGAATATTGGAATGTAGAAAGTATTTCCCTGAAATAATTTTAATATTCTGTTGGAATATTGAAAATGTTTTTATGGAACATTAGGAATATTTGAATGTTTAGAGTATTGGAATACCAGTAATATCCAATTGGAATATTGAAAATACTCTTATGGAACATTAGGAATATTCGAATGTAGAAAGTATTTCCCTGAAATAATTTTAATATTCTGTTGGAATATTGAAAATGTTTTTATGGAACATTAGGAATATTTGAATGTTTAGAGTATTGGAATACCAGTAATATCCGATTAAAATATTGAAAATACTCTTATGAAACATTAGTAATATTTGAAATATAGAAATTATATTTTGTTAAAATATTGAATATATTCTATTGGAATACCTGAAAATAATTTTTATGGATCATTAGGAATATTGGAATGTTTAAAGCATTGGAATATCAGTAATATCCTATTGGAATATCAGTAATATCCTATTGGAATATTAAAAAAATACTTAAGGAAATCATTAAAAATAATTTATTTAATAAATTACAAATAAAATAATCTTAATGCGAATAAAATGTTTTTTTTTTTTTTTTTGATATAATTTAAAAATTAGATTTAAATCCTCTTTGAAGGGATGATAAGATATGGCAAGGAGGAATCGAAACTTTATTCTCGGTTTCCACTTCCCCGCAATGCAAATAGCAAATGGTAAACACAAGTCGATTTGAGAGGCCGTTTTGGTAAATTAAGAATTGAGATTAATATCCCCAAAAAAAGGATGATAAATTTTATCTTGAATAAAATTTTTTTAAAAAATAATTTTTTATCATTACCTCATAAGATTTTTCAATTTTATATAAAAACTGTTACAATTTTTTTTTTTAAGCAAAAGAATCATTTTAAAAATTGGTTAAAAATTAAGAAATTTTTGTTTTAAAATAAAAATTAGATGTGAATTTTTATATCAAATGGAAAATTTTCACCTCGAGATTGAAAAAAAGTGTTAAATAAAAAGCGGATTGAAATGGATTAAATTGTAGATGAGATAACGAATGAAAGGGAATGAGAATTTTTTTTTGCGTAAAGGATGATGGTTTAAAGAGGAGTTAGAGGGGAAGGGGTGGTTTCAATCTACGTGATGGTCGTCGCGGCTTTGCTGGCTAGCGGTAATCTCTTGACATCATGAGAGAAAAGCAAATTTTATCACAGACAGACAGACAGACAGAGAAAAAGAGAGAGAGAGAGAGACAGGTAGAAACGTGGAAAGATATATGAACAGACAGGAATTCTACTCTTTGCCAAAGGGGCAACTTAACCTTTCATATTCATGTTTGCACTAGCGACGTCGACGCCAGGAGAAACGGCCATGTCCCACAAGACCGGAAGTAAGTATAGTATTCCGACTTTGACTGCCACCCACCTACAGACCTTCCAACCTTTTCAAGGCGTAATTAAATGGTCCAAAGCGCTTTACAAACTTGGTTTGTATTTGTTTCTCACCTCTATATATGCGAGAATGTTTCATTCTTTTTTCGATTTGAAAAAAAAAGAAAAGGAATAAAAGAGAAAACTATATTTAATGTTATAAAACAAAATTATTTTATTATTAATTATATTGGATATATATAATTACATACTGTAATTGGATTTAAATTGTTTAGAAGACTACTACAGAAATTGACAGTACTCCTATCAATTTTTGATAGGGGAATAAGGTCTGATGCAATTTATAATTTTTTTTATTTTATTTGCCTAAAGAGCAAAATAAATATGATGCGTTAGAAACCCAATTAGTACAAGAGTTTTTGTGATATTGTTTTGAAAAGTATTCACTCGAATTTTTCTCATAGGTTGGGAGAAAAAAAAACGGGCGCAAATTTATAAATGCAAAAATGCAAAGGTATACAATAAAGGAGGGTCATTATTTGAAAAAAAGGAATAACCAAGTCTCTCGGTTTATACAAGATAAAAGTCCGTTGTGGAGTAGAGAGAGAGAGAGAGAAAGAGAAAGAGAGAAGGATCAACGTGTAGGGGCTGTAAGGACCTCTGGATCACAGTCGACGTTCTTTGATCAACTTAACATCAACTCACCAGCAGCAAAACCCTCTACAAACTAAACGTGCGCTGATCTCCCATGAATATGGAAAACCCTGGTCTTTGGCTCTGCCATTCTAATTGTTACGTCCTTTCACTTGACACCCAGATGCACAATTGTGTAATTCCAAAAAAAATCCGCTTCAATTTCACGTTTTTTTTTAATAAAATTTTTCTTTATTTTTGGATTCTTTCTAAACGTTTTGTAAATTTTGTTTTCATTAAAATTTACCGTTTAGAAGTACTGTCAATTGAAACTACTGTACTTTAAAACTACCATCGCTTGATACTACCGTTCATTGGAACTACCATTTATTGAAACTACCATTTATTGAAACTACCGTTGATTGAAACTACAGTTGAATGGTACCACCTTTGATTGGAACTACCAATGATTATAACTACCATTTTTTGGAACTACTGTTGATTGAAACTACGGTTGATTGGTAGCATCTTTGATTGGAACTACAATTTATTGGAACTACCATTTATTAGAACTACCATTGATTGATACCAGCATTGATTGGAACTACCATTTTTTGGAACTACGGTTGATTGGTAGCACCTTTGATTGGAACTACAATTTATTGGAACTACCATTTATTAGAACTACCGTTGATTGATACCAGCATTGGTTGGAACTACCATTGATGAGAATAACCATTTATGGGAACTACCGTTGATTGGTACCACCATTGATTGGAACTACCATTGTTTAAAATCAGCATTGCTTAGAATTACCATTTATTGAAATTACCGTTGATTGAAACTATGGTTGAATGGTACCACCTTTGATTGGAACTACCATTTTTTGGAACTACTGTTGATTGAAACTACCGTTTATTGGTACCACAATTTGATTGAAAGTACCATTGATTGGAACTACTATTTATTTGGAACTACTGTAGATTGGTACCACCATTGATTGTAACTACCCTTGATCGAAACTACCGTTGACTGGTACTACCATTTGAATCTACAATCAATTCAAATAAATTCTGTCTTTGAAAAAATCTACCACTGTGCGGACTCGAACCCTGACTTTCAAATCGCAAGTTGAGACCGCTAACCACTAGACTACGAACCACTACTTTAGACTTTTGCAATAATTTTCATATCTACAATTATAATCAATACTAATTTCATTCTATTGTAATAAAATTAATAAAATATCTATCATTATATTAATAATCAAATACGTTGATTAAATAATACCAGATTAAATAATAATGGATTAAGAAAGATTTTTATTCAATTTGAAAATAAATTTTATTTGAAAGAAAAAAAAGAATGAGAGATATGCGAGTGCAAAAAACCATTTTTCCATTTTTTTTTTTTTTTTTTGAAGATAAAGATGTATGACTATTATAAAGTTGAAAGGATTTTTACGGATTAAGACGGTGATAACGAGTCTGCATCTTTTTTTTTCTTTCATCTCTTCTTTTTTTTTATAATCCCTCATCTTTGAAAAAAGTCATACGTAAGAGGAGAAAGATAGAGAAAGAGAGAGAGAGAGAGATGAGATGAACGACACTATGCTGATGTCGTAATTGGCTGATTACGCCCGAGAGTAATCTGTTTATCGCTCTGAGTTTGTATGACACTTAAGGCGCATTTGATATTCCATTTTAATGATGCTCGTTGAATAAAAAAAAAAAAATCATGAGTAAAAGGGAGAAGACTCGATAAATTTCAAAGGAATTTATGCATACATTTTTTTCCATAGTATATATATATATATATATATATATATATATACAATTCGTGCAAATAAGATGAAAAATCATTTTTCAAAAATTAATTAGCGATTCTAAAAAAGATTATTTATTTTGGAGAAAAATCCATTTCGTAGTCTTTAATATATATATTTGACGATAATTTGGAAGATGAATAGCGGCCCCTATATATATTTGTCGCACGTAATATATAGATATATTGTATATGGGATTAATAACTTTAGCATCGAAATCTCTTATTTCCCAAGTTTATTGGAATATGGTTAAGGGTGCCATAATCATTACAATTTGTAATAATTTTGTTTCACTATGGTGAAAATGAAAATTTTTGGTAATTTTTTCCTCTTAATGAAAAATAGTAATAAAATAGTAAAAAAAAAATATTTGTTAAGAAATACAGTCCCTAGAGACGTTTGAATATTTCACGGATTTTTCAATTGAAAAAAAAAATTAAAGAAAAAGTAATTTTGAATAAAAAAAAATTGGTTCAAAATGTTTGGATAAGTTACTAGTTTTTTTTTTATTGTAAACAATTTTTTTCTGTGACTTTTGATGCACACCCTATATAAAATATTATTTTTAATATATAAATAATAAAATTTTTATTATTTATTTATATCTATAGCATCAGTTTAAAAACTGAAACAATATTGTCCGCTGTGCAATTTGTTTACATTTAAGGTCATAAATCAAAGATAGTCTATAAATTTTATAATCTATATAGAATAGAAAATTAATTCTAAATCAGTTGTAATTCGTGTTGTGACCTGTTCTAAACGTGTGCGTTTAATTATTATTTTTTCTATTTTAATTCTCACATGTCATGTGGTGCGTTACTACATTTTTATACAATTTTTTAAATATTAAAATTTTATTTTTAATTTTCAAAATATGTTGTACGCGTGTATGCGAAGTACTATTTTTTTAAATAGTAATTTAATTAATTTTTTTTTGTTCGAAATTTTTATAAAATAAAAAAAGAAATTTATTTTTTGTTTCAGTTTTATTTGCGGGAATATTTTTAATCGCGAGTGTGTGTTTCCATATATATATCATCGGTCGAGAGCAACGCTGGAATTTTCATTTGGACATATAATGGCAGTTGATTTTTAAGGTAGGAAATACATTTTTTAATTAAAATTATATTATATTAACAATTAACAGATAAAAATTTATTATATTTTGTGTCACAAAACTTCTTTCGATATTTATTATCGAAATTTTTTTTTGACGGTTTCGGTATATTTTGATTACCCTATATTTATATTTCTATATAGTTAAAATAAATAAATAGTGGGGAAAAATATAAAATTAAACTTGATACCGATTGTACTCTGGCGAAGGATAATTCAAACAGTACTATATATAATATAAATATAAAGCCTAATTATTATCCTTGAGTGAAGGTCGGTTATTGTATGAATAGATATCGAGGAAAGAATCATGATATTGGTTCGGTTGGTCAGTCAAATTGTGGAATGGAAATAACAATAAATATATACATAAGGAAAAGGTTGGCGGAAGGAAGGAAAAAAAAATCACGAAGGATCAGAGATAGAAGGAAAAAAAAATTGAGAAAGAGGGAAGTAGCGTTTGCATCCCTATATATAGATGAGAGAAGGAGGAGGAGGAGAAAAAAAAAGAGAGAGATTGTTATACCTAAACAAATCGGGATTGTTTGCAGTGGCATCGTTTTACGCATGAGGCCGCGGGTTCTTTATTCCTTTTCTCAATTCGAGTTGATGCCACTTGAGCGAGCTGGAGTGTAAGCGAATGCGAAAGGGAGGCAACACAACACACAGCCTTCGATGTCGGTCGTTCGTTGGTCACCCCCGGGGAGGCTTTGATCTTTACCGATTTTTTTTTCCTTCTCTCTCTCTCTCCGGAACTATACTCCCCTTTTTTTCACCCACTCTCGAATGCTCTAGAACTATATAGGCACACTCTTGGAATATCATCTAAAAGAATGATGATGTCCCGATGTTTTAATTCTGTCCTGGTCCACTTGAAGCACTGTCAAGTACTATACACGGATTCGACACCGAGAAGCGGCATGTTTTGTCGGGACGCACTTTATTAAAACCTCGTTATTTGTACGTCAAACGTACCATTGTACCGTGTCACGATCGGCCGAGCGCACATGACACTTGTCATATATATATATATATTCGAGTCAATTATATAAAGCGTTTCATCGTATTTCTTGATACGATTCTTCATATTATTTTACGCTTGACATTTTGTCTCTATTCGTGTCAAAGGCAATATACAGTCAAACCTCGATAAGTGGGATGGGAAACCTCAATTATTGAGAATGTTTGTTCAATTATATAAAGTCTTTTTTAAAATTCAAAATTAATTGTGAAGTGGCAGCGGTGGGATTTTTTATTTACTATGATCAAAAGGGGAGGCGGAATAATTGTTATTTGGCTTATTAGAAATTCTTACTTTTTTATAAGTGATGAAAATTGTGTAAATTAGTTCGAATGAAAAAATGTCTAAAAAGTAATAGTGACAAAACATTTATTTTAATTAAATAATTAGTTATTGTAATAATTTAGTTTTGTAATAGCTGATAAAGGGCTTTTGAAAAAAAGCAGTAATTTTCAATAATACAATTATTTTGATCCCATTTTTTGTCAATAAATAAAAAATCCCACCGCTGTCACCTATTGCACAATTGATATTTTTTGTATTTAAATTGGTATTTGTACTAATATTTTCTCTATTCAAACGAATAATTTTTTGAAACAAATATTATTAAATTAAATCTATAATAATTATTTAGTACAAATAAATATTGATTTGATAATAAGTAACCAATTATTTGAATCAAATAAAATTTTTTCAGTGTAGAACATTAGTAATTGAATAATAAATAATTAACGAAATTATTATTAGGTTTTTTAAAAATAATTATTTAAATATAATAGCATTTCTATATACATATATATATATACATATATATATATATATATATATATATATATATATATAGAAATGCTATTATATTTAAATAATTATTTTTAAAAAACCTAATAATAATTTCGTTAATTATTTATTATTCAATTACTAATGTTATAATACTAATATATATATATATATATATATATATATATATATATATATATATATATATATATATATAGAGAGAGAGAGAGAGAGAGAGAGAGAGAGAGAGAGAGAGAGAGAGAGAGAGAGAGAGAGAGAGAGAGAGAGAGAGAGAGAGAGAGAGAGAGAGAGAGAGAGAGAGAGAGAGAGAGAGAGAGAGAGAGAGAGAGAATTTGACGAAGCGAGGTGTGAATAGACCGTTCTCGGTAATGAGGAAATCTACTAGGATCCACCTAACCAACCCCCGTGTGTTTCATCTCTCCCCAAAACCATCCTTCATCCATTTTCCCGGCTTTCTCTCTCTCTCTCTCGCACACCCTCCGCCCAACTGCGTAACCACTCTACACTTCGAATTTTGTTCGTGTCACATCCTCCATTTTAACCTCCTGTCTCTTTCTCTCTTGGCAAACAGAGATGAGAAGCTTTTCGACTTTGTTCTTGTCTTCTTTATTATTTTTTTTTTTGCAAAATTCACTTTCAAGAAATCCATATAAGAGACTCGTGAGTTTTATCATGACATCTGGCGAAAAGGTATGTCATATACGAGAATAAAGAGAATCATTTTTTACTTTGAAATTTTCCCCTTTTTTCGAATTTTTGTCATTGCATTCATTTTATTATAATAACTGCTTCTTCAAGTTATTTTTCTCTCCTATGATTAAAAATTACTATTTTTCTCCCTAGGGTTGAAAAGATTCATTTTACTCACAGGGAGTAAAAATCGGGCTTTTTATCTCCAAAGGTTAGAAAAAGGTTGTTTCACTCCCTAGAGTGGAAAAAGACCACTTTTCTTCCTAGAGGAAAAAATTACTTTTTACTCCCTTGAGTTAAAAAAAATTATTTTCCCACAAAATTATTTGAAAAAAATGATGATTTGTAATTTAGAAAAAAGAAAGAGAAGATAAATTTTATAATTGAATATATATATATATATATATATATATTGTACGTGTGCAGTAACTCGTTATGTAAATTGGCCGTTCATACTCGATTTCTCTCGCCGCGATAAGCGAATCGGGGATGATGATACGATAGGGTTGTCAATTCGCGGTCATTTAAACGAAAAGGAGGGTCCCATACCAAATGAAGTAATCAGAAGAGCGTAAAGCGCGTTGCGCCAGAAGGCAAACATTGACATATGTTTGCGTAAAGCCCAGACAAACTCAATTTTGGCCCATCCATCATTATACCCGCGCATGTAAATATATACATATAGTCCTTTACTTTTCAGACGACAAATTTTCACACTTAAAATGACGAATAAAAATAAAAATTTATCCAAAAATTTTGTTTATGATTTGAAGCACACAGGACAAATTTTTAAACATTTATATACTTGACTAATAATATTTTTTCTCCAAGGGAGTAAAACGGATCTATTTTCACCCTAGAGTGTAAATTAATCTTTTTAACCCTATGAAAGTCAAATTTCAAAATAGCACCCCTGTATTCGACTTTGAAATGTGAATTAAAAAATGTTAATTTAAATTTTAAAAAATTAAATATTTAAATAAACAATAAATATTGAAAAATAATTTAATAATAGAATGACAACAATAATTTATTAAAATTGCAAATTAAGAGGGAAAAATATGATAAAAAAAAAGACGAGTTTTTTTTTCCGTATATATCAGAGCCGACAAAAGAAAAATGGTGTTTACGTTTATTAGGCTCTCCTTTGACAGAATTGAAGATTAAATATATATATAAATGCCATTGTCAATTGTAGGTGGACAGTTTAGAAAGGGGCGAATATACTGTTTGTGGATGCGTTTTGAATTAGGGAACTGGGTGAATAGAAATCTGTAAAACGTAAACGGGGTCACAAGATCGAAAATTCGAATAGGGGTAATGTAAGTGCATTTGTGGTAATATCCGCAGTTGAAGCCAAAGGATTACCAGCATTAGGGAGATTAGTGAGTAGTCTTTAAGCCGCATATCCCAATATACTATGTGTTCGCCGGCGGTAGTGAAATCTCTCTTTGAGAATTGAATCGCGCTACTTTTTGAAATGGAGCCCGTAAAAGGGTTACCCTGATGTAACGAAGCAAGCGAGAGAGATGTATTTCATCTTAAGAAAATTACCGACACTAATATCTTCTTTATTCTTTTTTTTTCGCAAAAAAACCATTCAACAGTCTTGTCAAAAAAAAATTTATTTTTTCTTCATTGAAAACAATTAGAGAAAAAAATTAATTAATAATTAACAATGATAAAATTGGTATTTATTTTTTTTTATAATTAACAATAATAAATTTCATTTATTATAATTATTTATTAGTTTCTTATTTTTTGTTAATTATAAATATAAATTTTGTTAATAATTATTATTTTAATTAATTTTAAAAGCTCGTATATTTAAATAATATATTGTAATTAAGAGTTTTTTAAAAAATGTGTTAATTCAAAGAGGGAAGGAGAATTTTTTTTTTTTTTTTAATCCAAGAATTTGATTCAATTTGATTCGCCCTAAAATTGAACTTGTACATTAATCTAGTAGTATAAATGTATATATACAGTCATTGAAGAATGTTGTGCGCATCCATGGGTTAAAACCTTAATAGAGTTTGAGTGGAAAAGTGTAATATAAGAGTAGAAGCCACTCAATCAACATCAATTTTTTGATGTGCACAATCCTCGCTTGAAAAAATTGAATCTTCCCAAGTTTAATAAAAAAAAAAAAATAATTCTTTTACTTACCCTTTTTTATATTTCATACAGTGAAAAAGAATTTTTCCCAATTAAATTAAAAAAAAATTATTTTTTTTTCTTCAATTATTTTTCTCTGCGTAAAAAATTGGAACATTCGAATATTTTTAGAATATTTTTTTTTCACTTAAATTTTCCTTGTCAGTTAAATTGGGTTTTTGCGAAAAAAAAGAAACTAAATTAATTTTGAAAATAATTTTTTAAATTTTTAATGATCAATTATACAAGTCGACTTATTTATTAATAAAATTATTGATGCATGTGCTAGGGACATTTATATATAGTGAAAACAGT